CTGACATAAATTTGGCCTGTCACTAACACGGTTAGTCCCATCATTCTTGTTCCCAGCTGCTCATACTTGCTGCCCCTCTTGTGCCAACTCACTCACGTACCCAAGCTGTAAATCGTGCCAGGGAACCCATCCTACTGAAAAAAAATCATCTTTTCCCCAGTTTGCCGAGTTAGGTTTGGCTTCATGCAACTTTTAATCTGATCTAACTCTGTCCCATCCCCTCCCTGTGCTGCCCACAGCACACTAGAAAATAAATGCATTTAAAAAAATATTCTTTTTTTTTTTGGCGCCAGATCAATTCACTCATCCAGTTCACTGCACAGCCACTTCAATAACAGCGCTAGCATGAGGAACGAGTGCTTGGGCCTGAAAAGTAGGTGCCCCTCTTTCTGTAGCAGTCTGGAGGCATGCTGGTTTAAATGCACTATTTCAGCTGTTTATGTCACAGAAGTTACTTTGTCAGATGAAATATTAAGAAACAAGTTTACAAGAGCACATACATCATAACCTCGCAAGCTTTTCAACATACTACTAGAGTAGAGGATGCATTTTTATTTCCTCATTCTTTGCTTGTTCTCATCTCTCTTCTTCAGCCGATGTATGTTCGCCATCATGCTCAGAAATACTGAACTGTATGACAGAATCACAGTGGCAGGGGTTGGAAGGGACCTCGGGAGATCATCCAGTCCAACCTCCCTGCTAAAGCAGGGTCACCTAGAGCAGGTTGCACAGGACTTCGTCCAGGCGGGCTTTGAATATCTCCAGAGAAGGAGACTCCACAACCCCCCTGGGCAGCCTGTTCCAGTGCTCTGTCACCTTCAGAGTAAAGAAGTTCTTCCTCATGTTCAGCTGAAACCTCTCATGCTTCAGTTTGTGCCCATTGTCCCTCGTCCTGTCGCTGGGCACCACTGAGAAGAGCCTGGCTCCGTCCTTGTGTATTTACTTCACGATCCGCGTAAAACCTCCGAGTGCATGCCCACAACTGAAATAAATCCTGAAACCAGTTAGAACCAATTCAGTCAATAAAATGTGTTTTGCTTCCACACCATATTCTTTATGTTAAATGACGACAAATATAAGATGAAGAAATGGAAACAATTCAATACGAACATCTGTTTAAACGCAGATTTAAGAACATTACCAAAAAAGCTATTTTAAACTCCTATAAAGGGACAAATACTTCATGTCCTTGTTGCAATCAATAAGCTGGTAGAGAGAAAAAGGGAAAATCTTAGCCTACTAATGAATATTACAGTTGTTTACAAGAAATATGAAAGCTTTTATATTCTAATTATTTTTAGGGAATATTTGTAAGAAATATTTGTAAGAATTATGTTAAGCATAACGACAGTATAAGTATTTTTTTTTAATTTAAAAAGGTATGAGTAGAATCACCCTCCAACTTGTTTGTAAACACTGTTTGGTGTAAAGTCCAGGAAAATGGTGTACACAGAGTGGAATGTTTTCCTTGTTCAGGTAAACAGCCTTGTGGTGTTTTGATATATTGGGCCAGAATGAGCTTAGTGGGGGAGAAGTCGTCTTTGGTAAGATTTCTGTAAAATCATTCTTGTCATCTTAATTTGTAAATACAGAAGTGACATGTTTAATCTGGAGATTAAGATACTCCAGCTGTACTGGGGGATGGATATAAATGAATGAGCTTGTCTTACAAAAAGCCAGTTAGCTTAGCAGTTACCCCAAGATTATTACTTTTTTTAATTACTAGTGTCACTAATTGAGGGTGTGGGCTGACACTACAGCTAAACAAAACAGCCTTGCTTCCATACAGTCCTCTTGACGTTTCCTTCACGCCAACACTGGGACTCCTCCAATGCCGTACTGAGCCAGTTTAAGCAATTAAATGCCAAAAAACTAATCCCACAAAACACGGTGATTAATTTTCAGCCAATTTGGCCCTATGTAAGTAAATAAAAGTATCTGTATACATACAAAGTATTTCAGAACCTTACCGAAAAGGCATTTGAAAGTCCTGCAAAGGAACGCTTCTTCACATCCCTGTTGTGATCAACAGGCTGACAGCTAGAAGGGGGAAATCTGACAAATAGTACAGTTGTTTGTATGGAACATTAAAGTTTGTACCTCACATTCTACATAATTATCTTTCCATAATAAAAAATTGTGAAAATGAAGGTAAACTTCTGCTAGCAGAAATTCTGATTTCTCCTTTATCAGTCAGGAATTGTTATTCTGCCCCAGGATCTCTGCTTAGCTAAGGCTGTAGTTTATTTTTGAATGATTTCTTAATGACACTTCAGAGTCAGACTCTTCACCCGGCAGGAACTGCGCGCTAATCTCAGAGGGGCCGCTTTTTAAGTTTGGAAGAAATCTGCAGCCACAGGCCAAGCAGCACCCTTGTAACCAGAAGTGGTTAGTTTGTTCTTTTATGGAAACAATACAGAGATAGAAGCAAGATACATCCATGGACATGTTGCTATGTTCATAGAATCATAGAATGTTTTGGGTTGGAAGGGACCCCTAGAGGTCATCTAGTCCAACCCCCCCGCAGAAGCAGGGACACCGCTCCAGTACTATATGCTGCCACGTGCCCAGTACAGCCCCAGTCCATCTCAGCAATAGGTCTAGGAGTAGTTAAGAAGAAAGGGTGATCAATCACATCCCAGATATCACTGTCAAGCACCATACACCACGAGGAAGGAAAAGGAGTTACATAAGCAAGGTAAGACTGCACACGCCTATAAGAGGGGGTCAGCTGAAGGACACACCTGCACGACCACCAGAGACCCCACGGAAGCCCCTCGGAGTTTAAGGGCGCATGCGTAATGACTATGTACCTATGATAATTAGTTCCAGGAAATACGACGAATATGTATGATTATTCTGGGAAATTTGATGCACATCCATGTAACCAGACGATGTTAAGTTTTGGTTGATGCAACCTGCGGTATGCACGTTAGGTGGAGCGATCCCCCGTGCATCCGGCGCCGTGAATAAAGAATGCCTGCCTTTTAACACTACATTGGTGTTATGAGGCTAGTTCCCGATTTCGGTGACACCCTGATTGTGGATACATCCCTAGCAGAACAAGGACATCAGGTTCTGATAGGGTTGGAATGCTCTTACAGGGGAAATGCTTAGCCAGTGTATGGGACACTATTAAAGGGGAAATGCTTAGTTGCTAGAGTAGAGAAGCAGTAACCGCAAGTAGGGTAAGATGATGATAATGAAATAACCAATGAGTGAGTTAGAGGCTTATATGCTTGCTGGATAGACAGGAGCATGTATGAATTAGGAAAGTCTACGTGACCGTGTGTACGGGACTTGGAAGAGTATAAAAGCTGTATGCAAAGCTATAATAAACGGCTTCTGGAGATCATGTCGGTCAGCGTCAGGAGACTGGTCTTCCGCACCTGATCTCCAAGAAAGCGAGCTGTTACTAGCTGTTTTGATTTTAGGAGCCTTTGCACGTATTTTCAAGTCTCGGTGACCTCATTAGCCCCTTTGTAATTCAGAGGCCAAAAAATATCCCTCCCCC